TTCTTCTACTCTTTTAGTATGTCCCTCTTTTGTCATCCAAATATAATGCTAGTCCTTTTTACCATTATTCTACATTAATTCTTTTAAGTATTGCTGCTTTCCAGGATAACCTCATAAACATTGTCCTATATTCTTTGCTTCTGTGCTCTAGCAGTACTAAGACGTTCCTTCTTTGGTCATGAGCAGCTTAAGCAATCCAGGCAGCTTTGTACGAATGATCTACCTCTACTTATTTAAGCACCACTTTCATCTTTGTGACATTGACAACCAATATCAGAAAAGGTTTATATTTTTTTCCTGATAAAAGCACAGAAGAACACAGGGACAAGCAGTCATCATAGTGGGAAGACTTGAGACAGACTGCTATTCTGTGATCATCTCCCGTGGACAAGGGCAGCTGGACAGCCAGGCATGGTTTGTTCCATTTCATGTGGACCCACACTGGTATTATGTGACATGATACCAAACTCTGTTCCTCACTTTGTAAAGATATTGTTTTCCTTCCCTTTCAGAAAGCAAGAAGCCTATTAAGCCCTACCTAATATTAGCTGGCTTGAGACAGAACATAAAATTGAACCGTAATGTAAGGCCAAGAAAAGCAGTATCTTTAAGGTCACATTACTGTGTATTATCTGTCTATATTGCAGCCTTATAACCTACCTGTCCAAATATTATGAAAAAAAATCTTTCTTATTGTACTTTTATGAAGTTGGGAATCTTTCATTAAGAAGGCTCATCTTAAGGCCATAACCCTTTGTTATATTACTTCCGCAGGTACCCTGCTACTGTGTCTAAAGGGAGGAATAATGTAGACATTGCTATAGTTATTGTAGTTACAATGTTATCCAATCCAAACACAACTGGAGTATTAAAATGTATGCTACTTGTGTGAAGGACAGTCTGTACCTTAGGATTTTTTTAAGAACTGGTAATAGTCAGGCTGTTTAAAAAAAAGATTAAAATTAAATGTGTATTTTTCTCTATTGTGCTGCATCTGTTTTCTGTCAGAATGAATCCTGCTGATCTTGGTTTCAAGGTTTCCATTCTGTGTGCTTTTAAACCAAGGTCAAGCAGTAGGCAGCAGAGAGACCTTGAAGGTGTCATTGGCTAGAAATACATAAGCTTTATAGCTACACCACTAATTATTTATCATTCATAGAAAGAAATACAGATGGGCAAAATGATATAGATACTGATACTTCTGTAGCTGTATGCACACCAGAATGACAAAAGACAGATGCTTATAATTATTTGGCAGTGCATGTAAGTATACATGTATGTTTATGAGTGAGTACAAATGTCTATATGGTGATATGTGTTCCTACCTCTTTTTCTATGTCCATCCTGAAATTGTTTTCAGTATGTGCTATATTGCTCACACATACAGTCTAAGAAGCCTGAGAAATCTATGAAGGGAAAAATCATTTAACAAAGCTGTCTGTCTAGTACGATTATATACTACTATGTGTTTTTTCAAGGCTAACCTTGAAGTGGTTTCTTTTCATTAAAAATAAAGCCCTTGGAATGAGGCCTTACACCTGAGAAGGCAGACTTTTTTTTGAGTGAAAAAGAGAAAATATTATTTTAGTAAATTGAGGCCTTCCCTGTATTCCGTGTTGTGTTTTTCCTTAATTTTGTGATTGCCTTGAAGAAGGTACAGCATTCTTATACACATTAACAGTAACTTATGGCTTTTCATACATTATCTGTTTAATTTGAATTTAAAGCAGACTTTATAGGAATGGTTAATGTATGTTCAGAACAGATACCCTATTTGTCTAAGGCATCTGTGACTTCTGAAAAGCAGTGGGCACAGAACTTTACATTTGTCAGACAGAAAGCATGCAGAATGACACATGGGACTCTCTGGAGAAAAATTTTCACATAAAGACAAACCTTCTGGCTCCAAATAACTCATCCTCTGTGTCTCCAACTCAGCATAGGAGCAGTTATTTCTCGTCACTGCAGCTGCACTTCTGGACAGGTGGTCTCTATTAGCATAGTATACCCCACCGTCTGGACTCCTGAGTTTTCCAACCCAGGTGCTTGCTCAGGTATACCACACTTCAGCCCCTGGCCGTGGGTCCAGATCTCCCTGCAACGCTGCACACTGAGGTCTCACCATGACACACAGACCAAACAGGACCAGGGTGGGCATCCAGAGCTGGGAACTGGGAAATGCACTTTAGCCCCATGGGTCAGATGTTCCCTCGAGCACACGGTGCTGGCACTTTTAAGCTATGTCTACATTAGCAAGTAAAGCAAACCATTGGGAGCAGATCTGCTGACTGAAGCTGTAGACACCAAGCACCTCGCATACGTACCCCAAGCAGTTCAGAGGGGGTTATGACAGACTAGCTTGACTCTGGCTTTGTGGATTAATTGCTCATTAGCAGCTGAAGTGCCTTATGTAGACACCTGGACAGTATCTGCCAGTTCACTTTCATCAAGGAATCTAGTTTGAGTTCTCCAAGACAATTCTCTGGTGTGAGGTACAATAAACAGAGACAAAAATGCAATCCTGGTTCAAACTAAAATACTGAAGTAGAAACATGGTCATTTCATGAGTGTGGCATGCTGATATACTGGATCTGTATGGCTTTCTGCATTTGCTGTAGTCAAAGTATGGAAAAGTATTCAGGCTTCACAGATATAGATACTTTTCATAAGAAAACCCCTCAGCATTTGAAAGAGAACATGAGTTTGATTCAGACAGTATATGGCTTTTTTATTCAAACTGACACAAAACATTGAATTTATGTCTACTAAGTAAAAGAGTTGGAGGAAAAATTCCTTTAGTACACTTCTTTTCCTTCTTTAATGTATGACTGAAAAGTTTTCAGTCCATCTATTAAAATAATCACTGAGCTTGGCAAATTCATATTTCATGGATTTGCCAGGGAACCATGACATTCCCTGATTAGGAAATAAAAATTCAGAAATACCCTTTCTTAAATAAAACAAACAAAAAAAAGATACCCAGTTTAGGCCACATTACAGCACAGTGCTTTTCATTCCTTTATTGCCTTGTCTCCTTTAAATAACTTTATGAGACAAAAGTCACCTTTCAGTGTTTTCCCTTCTGTAGGAGAAACACCTGCATCTGCATTTGCCCACCATTAGTGCTGTGTCATGCTTTAGTACCTTTCTCAGTTTCTCCAGGTTCTTCTCAGATGACCCTGACATGACATTTCCTCTCCACCCCTCCAACCCCCTCACCCTTTGTTTTCATGGTTACTTCCCATTTTTTTCTGCTTTACCTGTTTGCTTTCCTCCTGCTTTTCCAGAGCGGTGAGACCATGGAGTAGCGTTCCCATCGTTGATAAGGATAAAACCCCCTCATTACTGTTAAGATTGATATATGATGCCTGCCTGAAGGTGACAAAGGACACTTTTTTTGCAGACAGGTATGTTGCCACTTTGCCCTTTTTTTGTCACGAGCCCAAAGCTGTATCCTCTGTCACCTTCATGCATCCACCATTGTGGCAGTGACCCTTCCAGCAGGCAGGCTTGTTAGTTTAAGGGTGCTGGTGGACCTACTGTAGCCACACAGTTCCCAGATTACAGAGAGCATTTTCAGAGCACCTTTATGTCTACCTGTAGAAGGCCATGATGTGTTATCTGCAAAAACATAGGCATTAAAAGGCCCCATTATTTCTATTGCTAGCCTTTGAAGGGGTTTAAAACAGTTCATCACCAATACTATTTGTTCTTTCCTTTCTCTGTTTCATATCAGAGGTAAAAGGCAGAGTTTCCTGTCTTCCTTCAGCCTCTTTCTATTTCTCTAGTTACAAAGCAGTTCTGAAGTGCATCATCTTCTCTACCAGATAACAGGAGGCGGATATGGCAGAACAGCTATAATCAGTCCCAGTCCTGCCCAAATTTGAAGACTGCACATGAAGTGATGCTGTGCTCCCCACATCTTCTGTATCATGGGATTTGGAAAGAAGGAGCAGTTCTTGTCTAGTGTCATGGGAGGAAATTAATATTTCTTTACAGACACTACACAAGATAAAAGACAAGTTTTACCAGTCATACTGTCCTGCACTAGCCATGGCAAAGCAAATAGGACACTAGTTTCTGGTTGGAACTCTAAAAATAAAATACTTTAAATCATGGTAAAGAAATAAAGAATGGGAAAAAATTAGATTTGGGTGACCCTAAAGAAATATTTTTCAGTGTTATTCCTAAAGTAAGGAAGACTGTATTTGAGATGAAACATTTTCTTTCATTTTCAGGGTATTTACCTGGGGTGTATATGGCGGGGGTGGTGAGAGGGAAAGACCCACTTAATCTCAAAACATCATTTGACACGTAAAAGTTGGGAAGTCTTATTTAGCTTCTAGTTCCATGAGGACTGGAACTAATGAAATTTGGTTTCCAAAGGATTAATTCCTTATAGTTGAGTCTCTGATGACTAAGGTGATGAGGCATTAACTCCCCCTGAAATGCTTCCCTCCTTTGGGGTATACATCCTGTTTGTGTATGGAGCCTCAGATACTTTACACAAACTGAATATTTACTTCAACATTTTTTCAAAGTGAGCCTGTAGAGAATTTTCCTTCTCTTTCCCAGCTCCCTAATATGTTGCAGTATAACAACTGATATTTCCACAGCACAGTCAATCTGAAATCTGCAAACAGATAGAGGCTTATGGTGGCTGAAGAAACAGGTAAAAATAGGTTTAAAAAAATTACAATTTGGAGTACTATTTGGGGAGGAGGGGATGTGTGGAAGGCTAAACTACTTCTGAAATCCAGCACACTGTCCTGGTTGGGGCTGGCCTAGAGCTCCCGTTGGTCTGGCAGCGGGAGGAGCTGCAGCACCCTGAGACCCCAGGGGCTCCCCAGGTCCCAGTGCCCTCACCTGTGTGCGGGGGCGGGGGGAGCACAGCTGGAGGGCTGGGCCCGGATTGGCCGATAGTCCATGTCATGTGACATTGTGCTCACCATATAAAGGCAGGAGTGGGCCAGGAGGGGCTGCCATTTCTGGGAGTGTGGCTGTGGGGCCTTTGTGTTTGGGATCACCAGCTGGGAGCAGGTGGGTGTTGGTTGGTCGGTGGGTGGTGAGCAGCTGTATGGTACGTTACCTGTTGATATTGCTGTCAGTGTATTGTTCTGTTACTGTTATTAAACTGTTTTTATCTCCACCTGCGAGTCTCCCTTTGCCCCTCTGATTCCCTCCCCTTCCCAAGTGGGGGGAAGGTGGGTGAGCGGCTGTGTGGTGTTTAGCTGCTGACCAGACTCAGATGATGACACATGCATTGACAAATTATTTTGATTTATCTAAAGATACATTTTAAGAGAGTGATTTATTCATTTAAAAAATTCCACATAGCTCTATCTGAGATTGTTCAGTTTCCTGGGTGGACCTCGTACTTGGGCCTCTACCCAGCACTGCTGTAGCTTCTCTAAGTATGCCAAGTGTTGGGCACCACAGACCTTGTACCCTGTGACCAAACTGCAGCACAGTTTTGCATAAGATTCTTTACAAAGGAAAAATAACTCAAATAGCATATTTTATCAGAAATTAGTTTTGAGCACTCCCCAGGGTGCACGCCTAATTCGGAGTTTTCTCCACAAGCACTCTCCTTTTATGTAGCATCTGTAATGGAAATGAGACTCCTAAATTGCTACTCTTAGGTGGAGAAAATGGGAGGGGAGAATGAACCCACAAGGTCATTTCATTAGTCAAAAGGCAAATGGATGTATATAGTCTTTATAGAACTTTTTTAAAGTGATCAGTGAGCTTGTTAATGTCTTGTACTTCTAACTGGGAGTAGACATGACATCTGTGTTCTGGGAGTTTCTGATTATCAGTTCTACCATTGTTAACACTGCCAGCAAATTGTTACTGGCGTGAGGTCATCATAATCCTGGATATAAATGTCAATACTTCAGATTAATTGGATTTGTTGGGAATAGCACCACCTGGACAATCCTTCAAGTGGGCCTGTCCCCTGACAATCTTTAACTCACAAAAATTTATTTGGTTTTTCTTTGTTAATTTTTTCCCCTGACAATTAGAGTGAATGCATTCCTTTCTTTTATTGTCTTTCATATCATCCCACAGACTAGCAGCATGTCAAGGTTGCTGCGTCCTGCAAAGAGAGCAAGAAGTTAATCTATTTCTTGTCAGGAGAACTGTGGTAGCTGTGAGGGATCCCAGCTTCTATCCCCTTCGTGGGCACCAGTGCTGGCATTCCCGCTGGACTTCCCTCCTTCTTCCCTCCTGCAGACTCCTCTCTTCCTGGGGTCGCTTCCTCCCCCCTGCAGCAAGTACCTCCTTGTTCGCTCTGTTTCTCTACTGATAAATTAAATTATGCTTGTTGATTAAGTGTAAAATTAAATAGTGTGTAGTAAATAATTCCTCTGTTGCTATCTCATTTGTGGTTTTTTTTTTTCCCAGTCGTACTGAAATAAGTAGCAGTTTGGCCACTGAAATTGGTGAGGGCCCCTTACGTCTAGCTTTGTGTTATTATTTCTATTGCAGGAGCTGTAATTTCTGTAACATTTCACTCTATAAAGCAGATTTCTGGATTTTTCCAATACAGGGGAACCAATGAATGACTGAACTATGAACCACAGACCCAGCTAGGCTGGTATCTGACTGCTGCAGGTGTGTGTTGGAAAATTATTTCAGCTGAGTTGAGCCAGGCAAAGGTTCATATATTTTAGTCCATGGTGATTAAATAAATATTTTTCCAGTGACATTTTACATTGCACAGGCAATCTGGTCTATTCAAAGTTCCGAGAAACACTAATCATAAAGGGGCTGTAAGAGTCTTTATTAACAATTTAATTTCTCTAGGGTATTTAATTCAGAGCCCTTTAATACTGTCTTTGACCTTTCCTTTCCTTTCCTGCAAGTTATTTAGTACGGCTCCTAAAACTGATTTTTGGGACACTGCACTTTTAACCTTTTTTTTCTGACCATGAAAGGCAGTTTATTCTCATTCTTTGTTTCCAGAAGCCATCTTTGAGTTCACAGACAAGAGCCTCAAATCTTCAGAAGTAATTCTCTCCAGCTTACTAATGTATATACTTAAGCCCCAGTCTGCCCAGAGAAATATAGTCAGGGTGAACTAAAACACATAAATGAAATTACCTACCATTTGATATTCCCTTGCCTGGTGTTTAAATGAGGCCATGTGAAATTTAAGCTGTAGTAAAATGTCTATTTATATATCAAATAGACAAAAAATTACATTTCCTCCAGATTTATTTCCAATACATTTAATGTTTTTATAAAATCTTGCAAAAATTGTAGTTAAGCAGCAAAAACATATGCATTTTATACCACCCTGTGTTGATCTTAGTGCGAAGTATTGCTTTAGCAAATGAGCCTCTGTTTCCTCTTACATTATCACATACTGTTGTGAGGGGAAAAAAAAGAAAAAAAAAAAGTTAATATTTAAATAGACAGTGAAATGCTAAAAAAGTCTTTCAGTTTTCATATGTTAAATTGTGCTGTCACTATTTTACCCCACCTGTATTTTATCATGAGTTCTGCCCCCTGGTTCACTCTCCAGGCAAGTAAAAAGCTGGACACCCACAAATCCAGGACCAGGTCCCAAGCCAGGAGCCAGGTCAGGAGCTAAATCCAACAGCTTATCAGAGCATCGAGGCATCCCCTCCCACCCCCTGCTCCTCCCTATCCCTCCCCACCTCTAAAGTAAAGTGTGATCCCCTAGTCTTCTTTTGAAGCACAGTACTCCAGGGAGCCACAGCCTGACCTCTAGGGCAATCCCCAGCTTCCAGTTCTATTTTCTTTCTGCTGCACTGCTGTATCACACTCTGCAGGGCCTGGGTCCTTGAGGTCCAATTATTATTTCTTAACCCTTCAAGCAGCAAATCTCTGGAATCATCATAATTTCCAAATGCAGACAAGCATCTTTCTACTTATCTCCTTCCTTTCATACAGTGAAATGTATCCCTTTTATTACAAATAAATGCAAATATTTATTAGCAATGTATGCAGCCATTATTACCGTTCTCCTGATTACAGCTGTCTTGGAGGCAATGGCATGTGAAATATTGCTTATAGCATCCCCAAGTAGAAACAAAACAGCTCTTAAAATGTTCTTTGCAGAGTTTAATACAAAGAGTGAAAATAAATAATGTCAGGTCCTTGCCAGGATCTGCCCATTTTAAACTTTTCAATGGCACAAATCATCATTAATGAAGCACTTAACATTACACTCCTGACAGCACCATATAAAAATTACTGCAGTCATCCAAAGGATAAGAAGAAACATGGCAGATAACTTCTGGAGGGGAAAGATTTACACTCTTTTAATGAAATTTTATGGGTTCAAGTTTACATTAGAATAAAGGAGGGGGGAAATGTTTATCTCTTAAAAGCTTTTGGGGGAGACATTTGGAAGGAAATTGTATTTTTTTTTTTTTTTCCCCCAAATAAATGGAAGAAAGATCATAAAGCAAGGTCTCAGCAGTAGTGAAATCTGGTTTGCATCATCAGCTATTTTGATATAAAATACTGTGCCTGGAGTCATAGGACATAGAGATTTACATTATAATGCAGAGTAGAGTAAATTCTATAATGCAAGTCCCCTTGTTACATAGTTTTAGTCACACTTCGTTCCAAAAATAGCTGACAGTAAGCTCAACAGCTGGTATCTAATGCTTAATTTCTTTCCTGTTTATTTGTAAAAGCAGAATACTGTGCTCTATGTATTAAATTACACTTAGGAAGTAATCTCAAGTTCCTATGCCTGCAAGACATGGATCATAACAAAGATTCCTCTTTGTGATATAGGATATGAGAGTCTGGGTGAGACCCTGTGAGAAACCAGAGGTTTCAGCCATCTCTACCCAGACTTATGGCAGTATTTCTATGGAGTCGGGATGGCGGCTGAGCAATTCCTGGAGATGAAGTGGGATGTGCCTTGTGGCACCAGATACTCAGAGCCATAAAAGAAAAAAAAAAAAAAAAACAAACAAAAAAACACAAATCAAACCCATTCTTTGAAAATGCTTCACACTATTCAGTCCAGTGAATGCAGAAGCAGCTACCGTATCAGAAATGAGAAACGCTACAGAGGGCATTTGGTTGTGTTCTCCCATGGGAACCATTTTGAGGAAAACCAAAGCAATATACCATATAGAGAGAAGAGTTTTGCTCTCCTGAGCTTATAAAGAGAGCATCTATGCTCTAAAATTCAATTTGTCAGCTTATCAAGTGGAACATTTACTCCCCTCATCGAATCCAATAGATTGTGATTAACTCCTACTCAAAATGCGGTGGCATTGTCAAACGTATATTTTCTCAAGCTTGATCTACTTGACTGAAAATTTGGGGTTTTGTCTTGATTTATTAACCAAATTATTTCTAAATTTAGTCCTACTTTATTTTCTGTCCAGGCGCCTGATCTATTTAAACCCTGTTTGTTTTGTTTCACACTTCCTCAAGTTAGCATCATTCGCTAACATATTTAGCTTATCCTTTGCAAAGAACAGATTGTCTTTGGGGAAGGACCATAAGGATCTTAAAAAAATCTTCTCTGCTCTCTGTATTCTATACAGTAGTCCTCTAGAGCATCACAGATTCTCCCAAATGCTTCTGTGATGAAATAACAAGTAGCAGCAAGAAAAACAATAGAAAACTGTAAGGTATTCACATGTTGCTAAGCAAGGATAGTGTTAAAGAAAGCTGGCCTAAACTTAAATTCCTAACGTTCCTAGAACAATATTTTGCTGTTATCTGCACCATAGATTGTTTTAGCTGTCAAATTTTTAATCTTCATGACAATGTGCCAGTCAAGAAAATCAGAATTAGTTTGTGCATGTTTCAAGAAAATGCATCACTGAAATGCCTTGCAGAAGTGAAAGTACATGCTGCTTTCCTCTGACCCATTAATTTTGCTCTCTGTCCAAAATGGGTCAAATGTTCCTACAGTATGAATTTTTCTTTAAAATTAGAATAATTCAGAGGAATTGGTGTGTAAAACACATCCCATCTTAACAACTGTGCAGCCATCTTCCACAAATAAGACTATGGTACTTCTGCCTATTTTGCCATATAATGTTTTCATTTGACCCATTTTCTTCCAGGATTCCTGATGGTTGCTGTGGGAAACCAAGACAATCCTGAGATTCTGTTAAGTTGAAATGTGTCCCTGCGGTTATTAATTTTTTGAAATATCAGGCTATCATTTGTCAGTACAGAAGCTGGAAAAGACAGGGATTACTGGGTATGTGATAAATGCTGAGCATGAAGGACTGTTGGAAAAGTATTAGGTATCATGGGGGGGAGATTTTCTGAGGCAAAAATAGGAGTTAAGTGACTTTGAACATTAGTGAGAAGTTGGTTGATGAGCATCTGTATCCCTTTTGATTAACATAATGACAATGGGAAAGAATGAAAAAATAATCTGGTCACTAGACACCTGTTTTTTAAGTGGTCTTCTGTATCAGCCTCTTTATACTGAGATGAGTCATTCTAAGAGGTGACATCATTTTCTCTTTATATTTTCCACAGATTAAAATCATCCACTTGACTCACCTGGCCAGATAATCAATACAGTCCGGTTAGAGCTGCAAAAGCAGGTTAAACCTAGTAAGTGCAAAATTTTACTATTAGGGCAGTCCCCTCTAATCTCACTGACTTTCTCTTCCCTATGTTGAAGTTAACTTGTATTCCACCTGTTTCTGCATTCAGTGTACACACAGTGCACACAGCTCTCTTCTAATGTATTGCATGGTGCTGATGAAGGGAGTACCAAAACTGGGCAGGCTGACTGCCTCAATATTTCTGTCATGGTGTCACCGTGACTCATGTCAGCCCTTTCCATGTTCAGTGGTAATTATATATGGATACATATTTCAAGAGCAAGATCTGACTGAGCATTGAGTGTTGTCGTCATGTGCTACTGGGGGCAGCCGGTTTAGCCTGGAAGGACTCTGAAAAGACAAATAATACTTTGATATTTTGTCCCTCTCTTTGATGCATGACAGCTTGACTTTACTCAGTGAATCAACTGGATACCCACTGTGTAAAAAGCAAGCTATACAAACCAACTACATGATAACACACTGCCTGGAAGGTATTCAGGGACCAAGCTGCACCTCCATAAACAGCTCCTGATCAGCTACTGTAAATCTGGCAAATGCAAAAAGCCTTTATGAAATGAGGCTTGTCAAGCCCTGAAACGAATATGAGTGTTTCTTTGCCTTGATGCTCTGGATGCCAGAGAAATGTTTCCAGTGAAGCTGAGGCAGCACTTGGGCTCTTGGACTGTTCTCCCCAGGGTTGCAAAGAAGGGTCGTGCTGTGACCTTCATCCAGCAGCCGCCGGCGTCACCGGGAAGGGTGCGACTGTGCGGCTCTCTGAGGTCCCACGCCACA